GAATATAATATAAAAAATTTATATTTAATATAAATATAAAGTTCTGGTACTTCTAATTTAAATAATAAAAACAGAATCATCAAAAAAAAATAAAATAAAAATATCTAAAATAAATAAAATAGGCTATAAACTATACATATGGATAGATTTGCAGATCATCCCAAAATTTTTGATGCACCTAAATTTGACTCATATTGGTAGATCTGCAGATCACATTGGTGCGTTAGTAATTTGATGCACAGATTGACCAATTAAATTTATTAATATATTGGCAGATTTGCTAACATATATTTATAAACTATAGCGATAGTATATCAGTTATTTGATAACTACAATACCCTTATAATAGAGATTAGAGTGTTCAGATTATATGGTTTTGAAACTGCATAATCTGAACACTCTAATAGAGACCACCGACTATGTGATAAATACTTTTTAACAAGATGAACTCTTGAATATATACTAGTTACGAGATTTATTATAGATTTTATTGGTAAAATACGAAAAATCCGAGTCTTATATACAAATTAGACAACTGGATCTTAAAATTCAAGCGCTCACTATATATTTCTTTTTTCTGTTTGTTTTTTTAAGTACCGTCACTTAAAGTTGATGGTGAAATTAGATTGGTTAAATGATTTCACCGCTGTTGGTGAATTTAGATTGGTAAAATTACTGTTGAATTGATGAGTTTGCTAAAAGTAATTTTATCAACATCTCTAGTATTACTATCTCTCTTGTAGGTATGAATTTTAGTACAGATGTATCTGGATCGGATAGCATGATATATAGGTGGTGATTACGGCTATCTAAATAAGTTCATTTTATTTGCATTAAGCAAGGTAAGTATAAAATACGGTTTAATTTATTTAAAATCAGCTATTCAAATTTATGAATATTGGCTATTTAATTTTGTTTTATTTAGTATGAACATAAAAAAAAAACAAGATATTCACGAATCTTTACTGTTTAATTCTGCTTTATTCACGTTAATAAGTTAGTAAGCATAAATTATTTGTATTCAAAATTTAAGAATCATATTAATAATATAAGTTTCAATTGATAATTATATATTCTGATTGCGGCAAATATGTGTACTATAATGAAGATAACACAAGTATGGTGTCAAATATACAATAATTCAAGGACGAAGATGTTGAAATAATAATATTGATAGTCTCAAAGGGAACGAATATGCATTCTTTAGTTATTTATAAATGAAGAATATAGAATAATCATTTTCACCAGTATATTAAACAAAGGACTAGATTTTTGTCCACTGTAAATATGGTTGTGAATTGTGATATAGCAGTTTCTATTGATGAATATGTTCACCAATGTGGTTGTGCTAGTAGTGGTGTTAATAGATGGGTTATTACTTTTATTAATGAAGTTAGCATTATGTTATTATTATTATTATTATAAATGTATATATTGATTATTAAATTTAAAATTCATCAAATTTAGGATTATGACAATACATAAGAGTTTCAACTTTGGATTAAGCATTTAAATGTACAATTGAATAGATTCTATTAACAGTTTCACTAAATTATATACGAAGGTTTGAAATAATATTAACAACAATAGATATATAAGAGTTTGTAAACTACTTAGTACCATCACACTCAAGATCTTATCTGATTCTAATTGAAATCTTTATAGCTTTTTAAAAAAGGTAAATTAAATCATTATCCATTATATGGTTTATTAAGTATATATTTGAATTAACTTATTTATAAAGTTTGACAGTCTCAAAATATGGAGTATAGAGTAATAAGCTTAAGATATACAGATCTACTTAAAACATAAAAGTGAATACTTGATATTTCAATAAACAATTTGTAAGTTTTTAAGAAAAATTTTTCATATTGTGGATTTAAAAATTTTTGTTAATTTCAGCTAGATATTAACCAGTATATTGAAGTAGCTGGATAAAAGTTAGATTCTCATTGCGTGTAAATAAATTCAAAATAATAAAAATATTATTAAAAATGCAAACCCTTATTGAAGTAGGTATAGGTTAATTTTATTCATTACAGATTTAATCATAATAGTACAAATTCTCAAACTGTAATAATTAATATAGATAATAATATTATTATCTAGATTAATTTCATTTTGCATTTGTTATTTTTATTTTTATTTTCTTTAAAATATACTAGTTGATTGGCTAAAAAACATGTGATATTGGTTTAATTTTATTTAACTAATAAGGATAATCTTCTTTAATATACATACGTATATACTTATGTAGATACAATTATAATGGCTTCAACGTCGCATTTTATTTTACCACCACCACCTACTTTACCATCACCAATCAAACAAAATATAATTTTTTGTTTTCTTTGTGAACAACACTTTAAAACTTCAGGGGGTTTAGCATAACAAAATACAATTATTAAAAAATACAATCAGTCTTCTAAAATTGTGCGAATCTCAAAAAAGGTGTTAAAAGAATTCAAACAAACCTTAGTTTTTCTTATTCATCAAAAACTCTCCAATAATTTTAATCATATGAGATATCAAAGTTTTCATGTTCCTTGTTCTGAAAGCTTATTTTTTGGAGTATTTCGAGGTTATATTCATTATTCCAAGGCTAATATATATAAATGTATTTTTCAGGGTCAAACCGCGTATCAGACTTTAGCTCAAGTTTTTGATTCTAATAAATAAGAACGAAAATGCTATAAACAAAACCAACAAACCTATGTAGTAATTCGAGAAGAATTTCATTCATATAATAAATCAAATACACTTATAAAAAAGAATCTGAAATAGATATTGATCTACTTTTACAATTGATAACAAAAAAGCCTCAAAAGCAATATCGCAAGTCAAAATTTACTTATGGTGAGGTTTTAGTTAAATGGCGTTATAAAAAAAATCAAGAAAGATGGAACAGTTTGTATAGCAGGATTTATTTACATGCATTTTTTTATTAAGCAAAAGAAAATTTTGACATAAATTTGTGTATGAATCTTAAGATATATAAAATCGATTTATCTATTATGCATCATATTAAAATCAATCAATTTATAATTTGTGTTATCATCATAGGGATCATTGCTGTTGCAATTTTTAATGTTCTGTTATCTTTTTGTTTATATTTTGTATTGGTTTTGGGTATATAAAAAAATGTTATGAAGAAAAATAATAAAATTACTAAAATAGCTACTAAAGCTTTATATATAATAAATGAATATACTATAGTAATTAGTTTGATACAAAATAAATAAATAGTATATAAAGAAACTTTAAGCAAACTAATACTTAGTTTACGCGATTCATTTTTAAACCTATGCCTATTCTAATCTAAGATACAATATATATACTGGATTTACTTTATACCTATATCTGTGGTGTTCTTCAATATATCATATGCTAACAAATATGAAACCAGAGGCCTTGTAAGTTCGCTTTAATAAAATTTTAAATTAAGATTATACAATTATTAAGAATGAACACAAAAAGTATTATTTATATACATGTTATTGATTATTTTTCCATATCGTATTTAAATATGAGACAGTATACTATACAACATCTACATGATTTATCTCTCTTATTGGCACAGCAATTGACATTTTATTTTTCCAATCTACTCAATTTCTTGAAGCATAATAACAAATGATAACGATCATGTCAACTTTTGCTATGTTGATAAGGGAGATAAATCATGTGGATGCTGTATCGGTAAATTGTCTCTTTAAGCATAGTGGATTTCATACTTAATCTCATGGTTCCTCCAAGATGAGTAGGAGATACATCAGATATATTGATCACAATTCTTGTTTCTCATATGGTTTAAATTCTTCTGAGTTCGCATCTTTGATATATAAAAACGTTGTGTGTTCGATAAATAGTATAAATAAGAAACAGTATATCAACATTAAAATAAAGAGAAATTTACAAATAAAGGCCCCAAAATAAAAATAATTACAAATAAGGAACAAAAATGAAAATAATTACAGATAGAGATCTGATATTTGAAAATTATTACAAATAAGGGCCCAAAATAATTAAAATCTATAATTTAAGCTCTGTTTTGATGATTTGAATATAATTTTAATATAGTCATTGATTGTTAGCATATAAGAAATATGATAATATTTCTTATAACAAACACCATGCCATATAAAATTACAGATCGGTATGACTTTTACTAACATGAAAATGTTTATTCGGCTTTGGATAGTTATTCTGTCGAATTTTCTTTTTATAAGTTCAGAATGAACAAACAAAATTAGTGTTTGCTATTTGTTTTCCAAATAAAACCAGTTTATGCCCTTTTAATATTTTAGCTAACAAGTGCAAAGGTAACTATATTCATATAATAAGGCTAATATCTCATGATCCAACTTCTTTAACTTTGGAAGTATTCAAAGCACGTGGATCGTACCTTGTAAAGTTTACTTAGTCATTAGTTAAAGATATAGCAGTATTTCGACCTTGTGATATTATAAATCGTATTCGTTTTGAAGTGAGAGCTGAGACTTCATATATAGTAGCTTGGAGAAGTAAAGCTATTAGGCTACACAATATTAATTTTTTGTTTTGCATTGCAGGTTTTCAAAAATCAGATCAGTTGAATTTTTTTTTAATTCTGAATAATGAGCTATAATTCTAAAACACCTAATTAATCACAAAATGAAGCAATTAATAATGATACTATTACATTTAAATAAGCTAGCAATTTTGATGGTATATTTGGGCCCTTATTTGTAATAATTTTTAAATATTGAGCTTTTATCTGTAATTATTTTCATTTTGGGCCCTTATTTGTAATTATTTTCATTTTTGGGCTCTTATCTGTAAATTCTCCTAAAATAAATTATCTAAAAAGCTACAGATATTACACACAAATTCAATCACTGCTATCTGTAGTTCAAGATATATATCTATAAAGTATAAAGCAAACCATCTTTGTTAGAAAGTTTGTAGATAATATGTTGCAACATATTTATAATTGTACCTAAACATGGGATCTTCTTTTCTCATGCCCATTTTTTTACTTCACTCTCCGTTCCTCTAATTCCAAGTTTTTCGAGAACTAAAATACTATTAGCAGAAAACAATACATTCCAAGCCTCATGGTACTTGTCAGGATTTATTGTTTTGTATTCACATTCTAATTTAGATACCTTTACCTAGTTAATACTAACAATCTCA